CCCCCAACATGTCTTTTCTGCTGGTGACAGGCCTCAATACACCTGTACCCTCTGTGCTACGAGTATCTCCTTGCTGCACCTGTATCTCAGCAGCGCAGAGAACAGCTTATCAACATCACACGCGATTTCACCTCTATTCTAGCCCGCAGCGACACGCTATTACGGAACTCTGTTTACTGTCATCTTCAGCGAACCAGCTGTTACATGCACATTTCAGTATCATCTCGCGCGTTCGTTGTGTATTACCTATGTTTAGCCATGATAGAATTGTTTTTAAATACATGTATTAAGGAAAATGATTTTATATTAGAAATGTCTCTGTTATAACAGTGCTGACGGAATGAATGTAACTTTTGAATATTTGTCAAATAACCTGCAATTCAGCCAAGAGGCTGTGAAAAATTCTTATTTTGAATAGGTATAGTGAGCAATACCCACTGATTGTACATACACATGGTAAGAATACAGTTTAGTGGGCAATCAGTGGCTCACAGCTGCCAAGTTCTCAATTGCAAAGAAGGAGGTGTCCATGGACTCTAACTTTGAAAGACTGCAGGCCGTTGTTGTTGATTTTACCCACAATGGTGTCAGGGAGTTGGTTCCAAATCTGAACGCCAGTGTGGATGAAGGTCCGGCCGGTGGAACTGGTTCATTCGTTTATTTTGTACGTATTTTGTGCTTGTTTGTTTGTTTGTTTGTTTGTGTGTGTGTGTGTGTGTGTGTGTGCGCGCGCGCGCGCGCGCGTGTGTGTGCGTGCGTGCGTGCGTGTGTTCTTATCTGTTTACATGTGTCTGTGTGCGTGTGTGTGTATGTGTGTGTTTTGTGCGAACACTTGCTCATTTGTGGGTGCGTGCATGCTAATATAGGCAGAAAATAAAAACTAAACAGAGTAGAGAATCGTCTCAGTATGAGGGCCAGACCAACAGATGCATCGTACCGTTCTGTTATACCCCCATACCTTGAAATGCCCTGAACTGTTGCAGAATGTATTATCTTAACATTTTAAAATCGACTTCATCTTTACATAGTTCTATCTGAGAAATAGTTTATCGTACAGAAAAAAATGTATGTTTCGTCTTACCTCCCAAGAAGTCTCCTTTTTCCCTCTGTAAAAGTTGTCGTCGAAAAAGTGGCAAAATCTCTATCGGTATGGTCAGGAGAAAACTAACACGGTGAAGTAACGATCTCCGGGGACTTCTGTGCTTTTCTTTCAGACTGTGCCGGCGGAAATAAGACACAAATCACACATTTGTCTCTTCATGAATGTCAGCAAAGCAATTAGAAACAATTATCGGTTCTCAAACAACGTGCTATTAACTTGTTACGTGAAAAAGTGTTACCTGAAAACAGCTCACATTCGCGCAGAAAATTTACACATTCTTATTCTGAAAGACCTGTGTCGTTTATAAAAACTATCATTTGATAGATATAATTAGCCTCTACCAGGCCTTCGATGCGGCTGGAAAGAGTGGATATTATTGGCGAAAGGGACACATAACATGCCTGGGGAGTTAGTCCACTAAAGCAGTACAGTTTTCAGAGCGGCCAATTGTACTTCTTTTAGCGGACTAACTTCCCTGGCACGTCATCTGTCTGGACAATTTCTACTCATTCCATCCGCCTCTAAAGCCTGGTAGAGGCTAAGATATAACGTTACAAAACAGTCTTCTGTCATTACTTAAGACAAAACTATGCCATTGCATAAGACCCGATTTTTCGCACTCTTCTTTGAAAATACGTGGAACAAGTGTGTAATTGAGAGTTACACTTCAAAATGTTCGACACCCTTGTAAAATAACTAAACGACTGTGGCCACTTGCAGTGAGAGGACAGAAAATCTCTAAGATTAGCCTCTTTGTATCCCCATTAAGAAAATGCCACCTAGGGCATTGGAGGCCAGCGGGGCATGTCTAAAAGTAGGTAGCTGTCACATTGTTGCTGTGCCACTTATCCTATTCAACGGAATGTCCACAGGAACAAAGACGTAATCGCTGTAATTATTTCTGCCTCAGTTCCATAACTACTGGGTTTGTAGAGCCGCATGGTACATACATGTAGGCTGTTATCAACGTTACGGAATGGCTGAAATCGCGTTTTGTTAAGTTTTTCATATGAATATTCAGTTATTATTTGTTGTCACTTCGAAACGAAGGACCAATTTTTGCATTCATTGTGCACTATGGATATGTATTTTTCAAGGTCCCCTTCATAATTCGATACTGTTTTTTTAGTATAATATATATATATAGGGCACTAGTGCAGACTTCTCTCGTTGTGAGGTCATGAACCGATAACAGGGTCGATTTTTTTTCAATGTATAGATCGACTACGGTACGTTTACTTTACTAAAAGTTCTCGGCCACTCGGCATTATTCTTTTCATGTGGCCATCTGTGCTTACGGTTACTTCCATGACGTTCAGTTTTACGTAACCTCGCGTCAGCCGATGAAGGTATCTAATCCATCGAACTACTTATACAGTACCTTAGACTAGTATTGACCACAATTTCTTACGGTGCTGCGAATGATCAAAGAGTTAGTCTTACATAACTTTTGACTAAGTCATTATTTCCTTTCAACATTTGAAGTCTGGAGAGAAGGCAAAGTTTTAGGTTTGTTTTAATTTCGTGACACGTGGATGAAGGTTAGACATCTAGATAATGAAATACACAGGAAAACAGTTACTCAAGCAACTGGATAAATTTTGACAACTGTCAGACCTTTCGAGTACCATCCACTAATTTTCTTCGGTGACTAAACGAAAAGGAGTACGTTGGAGGCTACAAAATGTAATTGAAACGCCTGACAACTCTATCAACCTGCTTGAGTAACTGATTTCCTGTGTAATTTTGTAACGCTTCAAACTATTGTGGGACATTCTCTATGTTACGCAAATACAGGTCATTGTCCTATACTGAAAAGTGTCGGCACTTCCTTTTTTCCTTCTTCATGCACAGGATTAGAGATAAGTACTTGATAACAGGTCGTTGGCACGATGTGCATTGGAACACTTCAGATAATGAGAACAAAAGCAAGACGTTACTCCAGCCTAGAACCAAATTCCCGATAAAAGATTCAGCGGATCGAAAAATGGTGATAGACCAGATTGGAATTTCAGATGCCGCCTGGGGTGCCAGGGGTCAGTAGGGGTCAGCATAGGTGGTAATTTTCGGACGGATGACCTTTAGAAAATTGGAGCATATTCTACAGAAAATGTCTTATCGTTTCAGCAACAGATTCTCCATGTACAAACATTCAAAACGGAAATAGAATAAACATATACTATAAAATGTTAGATTCCTTTCAACTGTGACCAGTTTCTATACACTGATGACATACATAGAAATACAGAATTGTATACCAAACGGACAAAAACGATTACATACGTTTGTTTGAACCTTTGTTCATTCATGAGAGGCTCAAATCTGGAGTAGGCTTTCCATTGAGGTCATGAGGGAAGAGGTAATGGTCAGACAAAATATAACGCAAAGATACAGTTGACATCGTTTAAACTACCTAAATCTATACACATATTTCAAACTTACATATACGTACAGTAAATTTTGAAACCATGTTATCATCCTGCTAGAATGTCCGATTCTACAACTTTTGGAGAGCGATTCCTTTTGGTATTTTTTACATCCGCCATGTTGTCTTATCTAGAGTAAAATCTTTCTGTAAACTCTCTCCCAAATATTATTATAAGCTGTCTGGTGCACTTCTTATTAAAAGTTTCACTGTATACACTAATCATTAGATCTCCGTTTCACAGTTCGAATTTCACCAAAAATTGACAATTTAGCACCATATACGACGAACATTTGGGATTATTACTATGCTATTACGTCTGTTATGGCCTCAAAATATTTTCCATGACATTTAGACGCACATTTAAATCCGTTGACATTTAAAACCGTGTCAAAGCCCTCCGGTTATGTAAACCTTGCATTGTTATACAGCGTGGGGGACCTCGACTTAAAAACAGGTCTTCTGATACTTATCTTTAGACAGCGAAATAGGGTGGATATATTGTAATCCTTCACAAGAAAAGAGAACTTATACAAACCAGGTCATTCTTTGAAAGCAGTTTTTGGTTCCAAAAACGACGATTGAAAATCAGAGAGGGTAAAATATTATCTTCGTAGTGTCAAAGGCAATATGCTAAGGTTTTAATGACAGTGATGGCGAGTGTGATCTCTTTGTGCAGGCATGCATACCTGTCTGTTGTGTATCTTTTAAAACTTCCTAACGTAAACAAACTAAAAACTGACGAATACCTTCCACGGTAACAGACACTACAGAGTTCGTGTCGCGTGTAAGAATATTGTATAGTGTTGCAATTCCGCCAGGGGGAGTAACAAATTCGTGACCTAGTTTGAAGCAACAGCCATTATTGGTTACTTATTGGTGCTCCCAAATGATTAGCAATGAGTAATGTAATGTCAAAGTACGCACGTTGGCGTTCTTTCCAAAACATATTCTTGGTTTGTATTTGCATATGCCCCCCCCCCATGGCATAAGGAAAAAACATTATTTATTTATATTGATGCTGAGAGGGGATGGGCATTTAGACTTGGATGGGTTAATTTTGGACTAGGATCATTCTGTACAACTTGGGAGTGAAATATGCTGCATTTGCTCGCAAATATTGCCTTTCTAGTTCAATCTGTAGCGATGACAATAAATATGAATAAGTTGACGCATGCAGTATCTTTGCTCGTGGTTTATTTTATTTATTCTTGCCTGGACACTTTTCCGTGCAGGCTTTCCGCGTGCCTGCAGTGTTCCCTGCGTGTTTAGGCGGTGGTGTCGGCCCCGAAGGTCTCCTGGAAGTGGTTGGTGACGGAACCAATGATAGTTTGTGCATCCGTGATGAGGGGGGCGGCAGCTACACTGGCCGCATCTGTGCACACAACAGTTACAGCATCCGTAAAACATTTCATCAGGTTGGTAATTAGCAATATCATTGTGAATCAGGCTAGAGATGATTTGATGAGTTGTTTTTTGATTTATATTTGTATTAATGAACGATTTTAAAAATTCCAACATGGCCACCCCGCGACGTCAAATCCAACATGACGCCCCAGTGATGACGGCCCGTATAAACGTGCCAGAAAAAACAATACATTTTTTTTAATATCGCAAATATATAATTTTATATAATATCGCAAGCCTGCAATGATAAAAAGTATTGACTTCCGGCGACGCCTAAAAGATACGGATGGAACTTACCCAAGGTCTGCTGGACTGTGGCGGTGACGTTGTCAATGAAGGTCTGGCCATGTTGGACCACCTGGGAACCCACAGCAGTGGCGGCATCGACGAGCTACATACAAGACAAGGCAGTTCATGTAGTAAACGCTAGGTGCGCTGGTTAGCAAAATCACTGTGTACGTGGGCCTATCGTATCCAGAACGGTGCTATCAGGGTTAGGACAAGGTACGGTTCTGTATAGTCTGTCCGCGTATCCAAGAACTTATATTGGACCCAGTCACAGTTCTGAATATGCGTGGACTATCGTGAACCCTGAAGAAAGGACGGGCCTGGATACATTAGATCTTGCTACAGATCAATTACGGCTCTCTGCAGGATCTCAAGAAGGCATTTTACATTCCGAAGTGAAACTACTGCTCACCTGGTTGAAAGCCAGAGCAGCCGAGTCAAGGACGGGCTGGAAGATGGTGGACACGCCGGCAGCGAGGTCGGAGAAGAAGTCACGGGACTGAAAAGAAATATGACACATTGAAATATAAGAACAGGGACATAAAGGGTTACCCCTAAGGGTACCGACAGAATGCTGTAAGGGACTTAACTAACACTGACTGCCATTCTGGTCGACAGTCACATTTGTTTTACTTATGTACAGGCAGGGGCAAAATGCTAGATAGATAGATGGATGGATACAAAGGTAGTAGATTGCAATTTATACAGTGCAGTGGACAGTTCCATTATTAGTAATAGTCGGTGCGGAAGTCTCACCAGCTTCAGGCCCGCCTTGCGGCTGGTCATGGTGTTAGCCATCTTGGCCTTGGCCTGGTTCTTGATCAGGAAACCTGGATAGAACAGGGAAGGAACGTTATAACAGTGTATGCTTGTGTCTAATCGATGAAAACTTTTCTTTTGTCGTCAGCTCCTTGTTCCAGATAGCCTGGTAGCTAGAACATCGTATGCTCGCCGGCATCTCTACGGTGCTGAGAGTACTGCCCGCCCGCCTAGGTCCATTAGCGTACGCCGGGTGGTTTTACGGGTCGGTTTCAATATGTTCGTCTCAGAAAGACCGACTGTTAAGGTCAAGGGGATCATAAGCCTTAGAAAGATTGGCTGCTTGAGGAAAGGCCTGTGCCAACAAACTGGGGCCGAAAGCTGGTCCGAAGAGAATGTTCCAGACGAAACGAATGGTCTTTCGAGGTTCGAACCTTAGTATAGTTGGGTCTAGGTTACATGCGTGCCGAGTACAATGCAGTTTAGGCTGTCAAGGCTTAGAGTGGCCGAAGGTATCGAAGGAAGACTCACGCTTGGTGGTGGCCAGAGCGTCGACGGGGTCGGTAGTGGTGGTGCCGAACAGCGTGTCGATGGTGCCGGTCAGAGCGGTCTGGACGTTCTGGATGGCGGTGGTGGTGTGCTCGAGGAGGCCCATGATACCGTCGTGGATGATCGACCCGATCTCAGTCTGGAACTCCTGGCGCTTCCTCTTGCCGCTGACCAGGCCGGTCAGAGAATCTCCCAGGTTTTGGACCGCTTCTCCTACCAGCTGCTGGGCGGCCTGGCCGAGGACGGGCACGTAGGTGTCCAGCAGTTCTGGAAACAATTGATAAAGACTGTTGAAAAGTAAAAAAAATGTCAGAAGCCCTATTTTCGTGTTGTATTCGTGTTGTTTCGTGTTGTAAGCCCTATATTCATGTTGCAAAGTACAGCAAAGAAGATTTATTCTTTAGAATGGCTTTTGCCAACACCGGTACCGATGAACTTTCAAGCTTAGTTCTGTAAATAAGTTTAATGCATTTATCGACTATTGACTTATTGTATGGACTAAACTGCTAAATGGAAACACGTTTTGCCTGTAAAGTAGAGGTGTCCATCGGTACTATTCGCTTCTTCTATATCTCTTTCCCTCTGAAAATTGAGTTCAAGTTTAATAACAAGTCACCTTGCGCGGCTGTCTGGGCAGTGGTGAGGATGCCGTCCAGGGCGGCTGTGGTGGCGGCGGCCAGATCGTCCAGCAGACCGGCCTGGGCACCTCCCAGGCACAGCAGAGCGATAACGATGAACGCCTTCATGATGACCTGCGAGGGAGAAGAAGAAGAAAATCATCATTTTTTGTATGACAAATCAAAATATCGCCTGTTTTCCTGCCATTTTGGAAACGCACGCTGTCGATTTCAAGTGGTGGTGGGTCAGTAGTTAAACGAAGCCTGCCTTGCACCGCGCCTTAATAGTCGTACAAATTGGGTCGTAGTGTGTTATGTTTATGTCACCGTTACACCAGTTCCCTTACGGGGTGTAACTCGGGTATGCTCCGGCGGGGCTCTGAAGTCGGGAGGACTGCGGCTGTCGTGGTCAATACGTTATCAAGGCTTCGACGTGATGTCTACGGTATTTCATCAAGCTTCTGTTTAAGACGGCAATAAAAAGGAGTGAAGATTCAAACGCAATACTTACTGTTTTACAGACGCAGTTGATCAACTGAGAACCAAGGCACGTAAGTTTCACTGTCTGAAGTGGATAAAGCGGCGTCGGTAGCCGGGCAGTTTTTATAGAAGTCCACGGCTATCGGTCAGCTGTGACCTTGTAAGGTTGTCACACGCCCGTATCCGCACTCCCCTGCTATACGTGGCAGACAAACATACCGTATCCGCCCCTCCTGTGTATGGTGACGATGACCTAGATAAGACACAGGCAAGGTGATGTTTGTCGGATCACATGATATCCGCCCTACGTTGCATATTGTTGGAAAGCACTGCGGCTGCGCGAAACCCGTAATACATCAAGAGTCTCGATGTTAGTTCTATATAATACTGAGCAAAGCCCTATCTAGGGCATCCCGCCCAGGTTTGATGTTAGAGACAGATTTAAATATATCTTTACATGTAATGGTCCCATGGTTTATATGTCTACCATAAATAGGTAGACATATAAAGGAATGCTTTGTTATTAGAAATAATTCCGAAACTTGTAATAAGCCCACTCGATTGAAACACTCTATCAAAGACTTGTGCTGTCCCTTATTATTTGAATAATCATGATATAGATTTGTTAGGTTTTATTCGACATTAGGTCTTGTTCAACACATTTTATTGTTTGTTACTCTCGTTTGTTACTCTAGTTTGTTACTCTAGTTTGCCATACATCGTACCATGTGCAATTGTCGTGCAATAAAGTTCTTCTACATTGTGCATAGCACTTCGGCAGAATGTCTCGTTTAGGGTCGTGTTCCACTGTCACTTACTCGGCGGTTCAGTCGGTGGTTATAAGAAATGACCAGGCCTTACAACTCGAGCAGGGTCATCAACCCTTAATTATGGGTGTTTGTACCTGGCTTGACTGACTACTGTGAGTAAATTTCCCAGTATATTTTAGATGGCAAGCTAAGCCTGGATTGCAATGCCACTGAGCGGCTGCCATTCAGCACTAAGGCCCGCTCACGTACGCCACGCGATAGTTGTACGATCGTAAACATTCTTGGGCCTTACGCACGTGTGCCGTACAAATTTTAGCTACCTTGTATACGTATACGGAAAGATCTGATTGGTTCTGTTACAGCCTGCTGGAAAATCCTGCGGCATCAAAATTGTACGACGACCTACGATGAATGCCTTCACCCATGAGTAGTGCTGCGTACCGGTTCACTGGACTTGGATCCGGACTTGTAAGAATGTTTAGGTTCAAGTCCAAAAAAAACATAAAAGTCAAGACCATTTCACATACCCCTTTTCTTCCAAACCACCTAAAACCGTCCGTAGATTGCAAAATCTTTGCTGCAAAATGAAGAAAACATTGCCATCAGGCATCGTCAAGTACCGGCCTCCATGTTATGTGGCCAAAGTTTCACCCAGACAACATTGCAAGGTTGCCAACGTGCAATTTTGTATATGCCATGGGTTTAGGTCCGGACTTACAAGTCCGGGACTGAACCTAAACCTCTGGACTTGAATCCGGACCTAAAATGTGGGTTTAGGTATGCAGCACTACCCATGAGGGGACAGTATGCAGCCATATGGCATGGCGACGATAACCATCTACTCTCATTAGCAATAGGCTCTTTGGCCCGATGACGATGTGGTTCTCCTCATGTAGATGCCTGTTGTATACAGAAACGTACCGATCTAATTTTTTTTCAAGACTCAAGAATTATGTATTATTTATGAATTATCTAGTTCTGTGCCTGAATTGGTTAGAGTTAGGATAAGCCACGGTTCTGGATACTCTCCGCGTAGCCAAGAACGCAGATTTTCCCCAAACATTTTCTAAGTACGCGTGAACTAGAATCGTATGGGTATAACATACACGAGATTTTTATATATGTATATTCCAACATGTATTCACAAGACGTGGTGACGGCGCACTCAAGTTTTTTACAACTTATATTAATGCCGCCACCAACACAAGGGACAATACAATACTCATTTTCACCTGAGCGAAGTGAGGAGAGTCATGTAAAGTGCCTTTGCCAAGGGCACAAGATCGGTTGCATGTCAGGATTCGAACCCGGGACCTCTTGGTTCCGAGTCGAGCACTCGACCCCACGAGATTGCTAACCGCTAATCCAACGGCTACCTACGTGGTAAGAGGAATGACTTATAGATTTGATGGCTTTCTTCGTCTTCTGTTCTTTATTTAGTACTGTTTATTTTATTTATTTTTTTTGCAAAGTTTTTCTAAGAAACCAACCTGTGAGTATGAGCTATCATATCTCGTATATTATGTCCAGAGGTGCAATATGACTGTTTCCTTTTACTCAATCGTCAAACATACCTCAAACGGTGTCAATACAAAGCCTAGCCCTTACTAACTAATTATTAAATTAACATGATGAAACAAAAAACACATCAAGAGTGCGCCCAGGTCACCATTGCATTTTCTTTATTTCCAGTTGCAAGAAATTTAAATTCGGTGAAAGAAATGTCCTTGACCTATAAATAACACCAAAGAGATTGCCGCTAAGCAGATTGTTAGATGTGATTCAGTCGGCAGGGACATGTGCCTGTCTGCGAGCCGCGTGTTTAGGCGGTGGTGGCGTCGCCTCCGCTAACGAAGCCGGTGACGGAGTCAATGATGGTCTGGGCATCCTGAATGTAGGGCTGGGTGACGGCAGAGAGGCTGTCTGCATTGGCAAAAATAAAGAAGATTGTAAAATCATGAAAGTTCACCTGTGTTGGTAGTTATATGTTTTAAGTTAGAGCTTTCAACCAGTTATCTACTGAAGAAGACCAGAGTGACCATTTTTGTGTTGGATCTAAATTTTAAACAAGATCGAAACTTTAAATAAGGTTGTAAAATATTACGTTATCCCCAATGACCAAGATGACAAAAGGGACATGAGGGAAAAATGAACCACACATGTAGTGTCCAAAGAGGCTTGATTCGCTTTCTGCTTGCTATAATAATTACTCTTTAAAACTGATGATTCTTCTAAATGTACGGTATACCGGTAATATCAGACAACAAAAATTACAAACTTAGGTTTAGGTGATGGTTGAAATTCATCTTATCGAAAGAATAGGGGTCCATCCCAGTGTGAGCGGATCAAACTACGGCCCCGTCTTAAACTGAAAAAAAACTGGTGTGTTACACCTAAAGGTGGTTTATCGGTTATGCGAAACAAACAAACAAACAAACGTACCGAGGGTCTGGGAGATGGTGGAGGAGAGGTTGTTGACCAGGGCGGTTCCGTGATCGACCACCTGGGCACCGACAGCAGTGGCGGCATCGACGAGCTGCACAAGAAAAATACAGAGGTCGTTACAAAAAGGTGTTACTGTTCCATGCGGAGCAAATCTCAGCAGGGGGCTAGTACACGGGTAGTGTTGTGTGTTTGACCTGCCGTCCGTTCTCATAGATGCGGCGCTAGTGCCAAGCAGATAAATCAGGATGTGCCTTTTATTCAAATCATTGGTATGACCCGGTCGGAGTTTAAACCCACGACCTCCTGGTTAAAAAGGCGAGAACTCTTTCCGATTGACCTAGTGCACCGATCCTCATCATGGCTACAGATATGGGCCTCTTTTGCCAATTGTGATTGTTTTTTTACAATTTTGACCTAAGCATTTACCAGTGCCGGTGTTGCTACCCAGTGAAATATCATATCTAAAGGTAGGCAACACCTAGTTGGCGAACTGCACCTATACATAAGTTGTTCAATTGAATTGACAATGCATATTGTCTTGAAAAGGTAAAAACTAATGAGACAGTACTGGAGAGATATTCTGACCACTGACCTGGTTGAAAGCCAGAGCGGCCTGGTCGATGGCGGGCTGGAAGATGGCGGACACACCGGAGGCAAGGTCGGAGAAGAAGTCACGAGACTGAAAAGGTAAATGATTTTTTAAAAATCTAATGCGAACTTAACGAATGTCTAACACTTCTTACTAGACTGGAACTAGATAGGCACAGTTCTGGATACCAGTCTATCCAGAAACGTGACAATACTAACTGTGTCAATCTTAACTAATTCATTCAGGCATAGAACTAGATAGGCACAGTTACAATAGAAGTTCGACTTACGATCCTCTTGGCGACCACAGTCTTCATCTTCATGCTGGTCATGCTGATCTTGCTCTTGGCCTTCAGGCTGTTCTTCTTCAGAGCGCCTGGAAACAAAATGTGATGATCGGATTACCGAAATATTCCGGCAAGTGTCAATGATGCTTATAAGTTTATTACATTGCCGTAGAGTTACGTCAATGAAGGACAGACACTCAGGTAAAGAGATGCACAATATATAAACCAACCACTGACGAAACTGTGGATCTGTGGATCGATGCTTCTTGAAACGTCTAAGAGTTTTCAAAATATTCTTGAGTAACTGTGTTCTTGTGTTCTATTCAAGTTGTTCAGAGATTTTGTGGTGGATTTTAGATTGAGAAAAACGACTCACGACTTGTAGTGATTTGGAAATTACCGTTTCAAGCACAATAGGAAGAAAGTACGAAGTACCAAGAGACATAACACGAGATAAAACACTCACGCTTAGTGGTGGCCAGAGCGTCGATGGGGTCGGTAGTGGTGGTGCCGAACAGCGTGTCGATGGTACCGGTCAGAGCGGTCTGGACGTTCTGGATGGCGGTGGTGGTGTGCTCGAGAAGACCCTGGATACCGTCGTGGATGATCTGTCCGATCTCAGTCTGGAACTCCTGGCGCTTCCTCTTGCCGCTGACCAGGCCGGTCAGAGAATCTCCTAGAGAGGAGACCGCTTCTCCTACCAGCTGCTGGGCGGTCTGGCCGAGGATGGGCACGTAGGTGTCCAACAGTTCTAGAAATAACGATTGAATGAATTCATTATTACAGCATCTTCAATGCACAGACGATACTTCACCCTACCCTTACTTCTGCACTTTTTCAACACGAAAAACAGTCTTTCCAGGGATCATTACTAACATTTTTACATTTCGTGCTTGACCACAGCAGCTACATGTGTACTACGAAACCTTGTGAAGCCACTTACAAGAATGAACTGTAATTTGATGAGCAAGCATTGTATTCAGAACCGTGCCTATCTTGTTTCATGCCTGAACGGGCTAGGGTTGGGATCAGGCCCGGTTCTGGATAGTCTCTACGAAACATAGATTTGCTCCAGACACGGTTCTGGATACGCGTGGGTTATCCAGAACCGTGCCTGAGGATAGCGTATCGTTCTAAGGATAGGCTCAGGATAACGTATCGTTCTGCATGTAGCAACAAGTCACCTTGCGCAGCTGTCTGGGCAGTGGTCAGGATGCCGTCCAGGGCGGCTGTGGTGGCGGCGGCCAGATCGTCCAGCAGACCGGCCTGGGCACCTCCCAGGCACAGCAGAGCGATAACGATGAACGCCTTCATGATGTTTTATTAGTCTGCAAAACAAGTATTCAACATGCGTGTCGTAAGTCGGGCAAGTGGTGGGCATCAAAGCAGTACGGAAAGGTTGAAATAAATCTAGCAATGGCGTTACTATTTTCTACCCTATCTACACAAGTACGTGAGATATGTGGAATTATGAGTTGGTGCATAAATGGTGTAAAAAATTGATGTAATGGATTCTTGAAGTATTCACCATAGGGTAGTACTATAAACTTGGTATGAGTTCAAAGTATAAAATGTAATCAAGGCATCAATTTCAAAAGTTACCAGTAGTTTGCAAATTAATAACTGCAACCTTTACAAATCAAATGCAGTAATAATGTATAAAAAAAGGAAGTACAAACTTGAAATCAGACTTACCAACGAGGAGGTTGAGCAGGATCAAGGTACGTAACTTTCACCGTGTGTAGTGGATGAGGACGTCGCTAGTCGCAGGGAGGTTATATAGCGGCCGGTGTGCGCGCAGCTGTGGCACCGCGCGGATGTCTCACGGCCCCGGGGCAAGGTTATCCGCCCTTCCCTCGCGCGACGGGTACGACACGGCGGATACCCTGATATCACATGTTTGCTGTACCACACCGGTATCCGCCGCATGCAAGGCTTGTTTAACACTTTATTTATCGTGCCACATTTTTTATGTATCTTAATTCTACGTAAGAGAGAGTAAGGTACTAGTATTGTATTTCAGAAAGAAAACATGATTTCGGAGACTTCTTACCTCCATGAAATATGTAAAGTTTATGTAAATGCTTTTTGGGGATTGGTCTCATTCGAAAATCATAATTACTATAATATAGTTAAATTTCTAAAGTCAAATTATAATATTTCGCTTGTGAAATTCCTATCTTTTGGTAATATTTCAAGTCAACATGTCCTCATTAATTATGCAAATATAAATGACCTCTACATGTTTGCTGTATCACACCGGTATCCGCTGCCAGGCTTAAGCATGTTTAACACTTGATTTATCATGCCACATTTTTCATACTTTTGTATAAACGTAAGAGAACTCTACGTAAGAGAGAGAAAGTCCTTTATTTCGAACAAAAAGAACTGGTTACGTTTACTTTGTTGCAACATTTGATAAAAAGCTATCATTGTAGGCATTCTAAAGACTAGCGGTGTGCCCTGGCATATGTCAGTGTTTCGTCATTTTTGCGACTGTTTAATTGACATTTTTTTAAATATCTGATTCCGGTCTGTCTGCACATTAACAGTATTTGTTAGCAAAGATATGATATCATTATATCCGCACCGTCACCATGTCCTTTGTAGAATGATGAAACAAGCACGTCGGCAGAACGTACTGCGCCTGCGCAAAACCCCCATTTTTCACGGTTTTCGCTGGATTTTTGGTCAACGTTGCATCAGAATTTTGCCTGTTACAGACAATATTTTTTCCGACAAAACATTTGGAAACTACAGGCGGAGGGTTAACGTCATATGCGCGAATATGACCTTATATGAAACGTTCTGCCGAAGTGCTATGCATATAATACATTACTGGTTTCGCGCAGGTGCAGTACGTTTTGCCGACGTGCTGATAAAACATTGTGTTGGAAAAGACGTACTGCGCGAAACCCGTAATGTATTGTGCACAGCACTTCAGTGGAACGTCTCGTCTAAGGTTATATTCCTGTATTTAAGGATGACATCCCAGCCATAGTTTTCAAATGTCTGCATCGGGCAAAACTCTGATGTAACGTTAACCAAACATCCAAACAAACCAATGAAAAACCGCACCGTATGATATTTTCACAAACATTAAACAAACATGCTGTGTACTGTCACCAAGGATATCAAAACATTGAGATACAATGTTGAGGATATTAAGTGGGGGTGAGTACAAAAAGGTAGCCTATGTGTCAAACAAGGACTCGTCCTTGCCAATGGGAAGGTAAATATCAGTAGTGTACATTCTACCCGACGAACCGGACAGTCGGGGTTGTACAAACCTACAGGTATGTCCTATCGCCGGGGTTGGCAAACCAATGCCCACTGTGTAATGTATTCCTAGCTAGAAGATTTTGTATTGTTCTTTCGGACACTTTTCTCGAGGGTTAATGACCTGCAATACTCCATGCAGCTTATCAAAGAGTGATAACAGTCGTAGGTCGTAGTTAGCCTGGTTACCAGACATTTTAGCTCCCGAGTCTATATCCGCTATTTCCGTACATTTAGATATAGACTGGGGGAGCTAAAATGGGGCCTGGTAACCAGCCTAGGTCGTGGTGTGATATTGTCAAAGTCAAGATGGCTACGTGAAAACAGTAGCAACGGCTTAGAATAAGCAATTATATAAAAGCAATGTTGTTTGTAACAAGATCCAGTTTTAAGGACATGTGCACCACTACCCCAAGAATGCCATCAGTTTGGGACCGTGCAACAATCGCATGACGTACGCGTATGTCTAGATCTCTAGAACTTGAAATGAAAAAACCGTACGTCCTGATGCAGTGCCAAGGAAAGCGGCTAGAGGGCCCCAAATCGACCTTGATCTTTGTCAAAGCCCAATCCACATGCCTAATTTCGTCACAATACATCTTACAGTTATTGTTGCCCAAAATATCCAGAAACACAAGCAACCCGATAGACGGACCTAAAATAATAGCTCCATTTTCACGAAAAGTAATAAAGTCAATGTTTTTGATGAAAGCACGTTATTCGTCATTATGAAGGCTCCTATCTATTGGCGCTTATCATCTCATCATTCCTTTAATTTTAATTACTTGACCGTTAGGGCACCACAGATGACCCTTTTGTTTTTGCTCGTCCTGACGTTGTGGCGTGCTGACCCACTGTATGATGCCCTTCTATTTTCCGTTGCCTACCCCTCTTTCTTCCTCCATGTACTGTTCCTTGCATTGTGGTTTTGGCTAGTTGACTAGTCAAGATGACCCTTACAAGAGAGCATACCGCTTCAACTTCCGTGCAGGCGCAAAATTTCTGTTTGCTGTTGGAGCGTTACATTATGGTATACACGTACACCAGTTGTCTTTTCCCAGATAACATTTCCGCTGTGTTAACGTACAAATTGAATCCACCAATCAGGATCCAGGCAGACATCCTGACTGATAGTACGCCGACCTTCCGTCGGAAGAAACTTTGTAACGCGACGCTAATTTTACCAGTATTATTGTAGGACGTATGTCAGTATTTGGAAAATATTTTCGTTATTTTTCTGTACTGTTCCATTTGCATACTTTCCTATCTGAATCCGGTCGGTAAGCATATCAGTTAGTATTTGGATAACCGAGATGCCACCACTGTGCTGCCCTCTCCTATAGCATGTGACTGGTACGGTAGACTATTTTCGACGGGGCTGTTGTATCCAAGACCGTGCTATATCCTGAACTATACTCAGGGACAGTTCTGAATAGTCCACGCGAGCCCAGATAG